ACCTCCGTAGCGCCAGTGCTCGCGCGCGGCCCCTGCGGAGGGAGAGGGCGTCGGTCCGGGCGGGAGTGGGGGCGCCCCGGCTTGCGAGTGGTGCTGCCCCGGAGCCGCCCCGCGCCTCTGCCCTTCCCGGTGGCCGCCTTCGCCCCAGGCTGCCCGGCTGCGGCCGGAGAGGGTCCCCGGCCTGCCCGCCCGCCTCGGCTCGCTCTCCGCCCCGCAGCCTGCCGACGGGGTCTCTGCGGCTCCCCCCACTCCGCCCCTCGGTCTCTCTCTCTCTCTCTCTGTGTCTCTCTGTCTCTCTGTCTCTGTCCCTCTGTCTCTCTGTGTGTGTGTGTGTGTGTGTGTCTCTCTCTCTCTCTCTCTCTGGCTGTCTGTCTCTCTGTCTCTGTCTGTCTCTCTCTCTCTCCCCGCAGTCCTCATCTCTTCTCTCCCGCCTGCCCCTTTCCCATCTCTTCTAGTTGTCCCCCTCCTTTTTCCTTCTCGCATCTGTCTCCTGTCTCTGAAGGGCGGGAAGGATCTAATGGCTTGGGGCGCCTGGAAGGGCCGCTGTTAGAGTACTGTACGTGTTCCTTCCCTGAAGGACTGCCTGGGCAGGGCTGTGGGAGCCGAGGCCTGGACTTACTGGAGCCTAGATTTGGGAGGTGATGATCACTTACCTTTTTTGTCCCCGTGGCCATTATTCTGATGGCCTTGGGTTCCCTCCGGAGTGGCGACAGTGGGTAGATCCTCCAACTTCAGGGGGTCCTCCTCCTGCTCTCCTGGCTTAGCGTGAACTTGAGGTGGACCCTCCCCGTGTGGATCCACCCCTCCAGGTGGATCTTCTTCACGGGGCCGGTCCGCCTCACCCAGTGGATCACTTTCCCCGGATGAATCTCCTTCCATGGAGGGGTCCCCCTGCATCCAGGACAGGTTCTGGGGATGGGAAGGCACCAGCAGCAGCAGCAGCAGCAGCAGTTGCACAGCAGGGGCTGAAATCAGCAGAGGGAGCCAAGGGCTGGGGCCCAGGGAAGCCATGTGGTTGACTGGGGTGTCCCAAGACACGGTGTGTACGGGCTGTACGTGCAGCATCAGAAACAGGAGCCGGGTGGGGAGGAGCAAGCCTTGAGGGGAGCCGCCTGACTCAGAGTGCCCTTTTGTAGAGGTGGAACCAAAGTCCCGCTGGTGTGCCTGGCCCTGTGCCCCCTCCCCGAAAGCCTGGGTGGGGGGAGTTGAGGCAGGTGTGTGCTCAGGCGGAAGGTTATCAGGGTTACCCAAGGCACTACCTGGCACTGCATAGGCTCTCCCTGGCACCACCCAGCTGCTTGCCAGCCAGCTTCAGCAAACACTGGCCTGCTTCCCAGTTCCAGGCAAGGAAGGGGAAAGACGGGAGCGCTGGGGCAGAGTGTCGCTGGCAGAGTGGCAAGGCACCCCCTGCACATATCCCTCGCTCAGCCGGGGAGCAGGTAAAGGGGCCGGGCAAGCTGCTCGGAGGAGCCGGTAGGTGAGCAGGTGGAAGGATAGGTGATGGAGAGGAGGCAAATTTGAGCAAGAACAGAAAGCTGAGAGTAGGTATCAGAGAGACTCTGATGGATTTAAATTAAATTTAAGTTTTAATTTATGTTTTATGATTTAAACTAAATTCATCTTTTTACTCCCCTGCTCAAAAACCTCTTCAGTGGGTCTCCACTGCTTACCAAAATTTGTCCACCTTTTCCTTTCCATTTCCAGGTCCCCAAAACCTTACCCAAAGCTGGGTGTGATGGGGCCACATATAATCCCAGGACTTGGAAGGCTGTGTGAGGTAGGAAGATTCTGAGTTTGAGAAGAGCCTAGCATTGTCTTTTAAAAAAAAAAAAAAAGCAATAAACCCTTATCCAAGAGACCTTTCCATTTTGTCTTCTCCCTCATACTCTGGTCCAATCAAATCTTCTTTTTTTTTTTAGACAGGGTCTCTCTATGTAGCCCAGGCTGGCCTTGAACTCACAATAATCTCCTGCCTCAGCCTCCAGTCCTGGGACTACAGGTGTGTGCCACCACATCAGCTAAACCATTCCTTTTTTTTTTTTTTTTTTTTTTTTTGTTTGTTTGTTTGTACTGGGAATCAAACTCGGGACCTTGTGCTTGCCAGGCAAGTGCTGTGCTGCTGAGCTATATCCCCGGCCCTAAACCATTCCTTTTTATAAACTTTTTTGGCTTTTCTTAGTGGTGCTAGTGATCAAACCCAGGGCCTTATTCATTCTAGGCAAGTGCTCTACCACCAAGCTACACCCCTAATCACAAGCCATTTTTTCTCCAAACTTTTCATCACCTTTGCTAATCTAGTTCTTTGCTTGGAATACCATCCATTCTTGCATTCAGTATTTGTTTAGCACCTGTTGTATGTCAGGCCAGGCCTGAGGGTATGGAAATGAACAGGACAGTCCCTGCCTAAGGAGGGACTCACTCATGGTCCATTGAGTGAGACAAATGCTATCAAAATATGTTTAGGGGAGGGAGAGTAATTCTGACTCAAGTTATTACAGAATTAGGCAAAATTTGATCAGAACTCTGAGGATAAAGTAGTGGCCCAATTGGTAAAAACAATGAGAATGGTATTCTGGGAAGGAGAAACATCAAATATTTTGAGCAGGAGAGTGACAGGATCTGGTTTTCATATTCGGTCATATTTAGGACTCACAAGAGCATGGCTTGGCGGGCTGACTAGATGAGGAGGTGAGGTAAATGAGTGAGAAGATGCCCAGCATGGGCTAGGAGGTCCCAGTCCACCCAGGGAGCAAACAGTCAGCTGCAGCCTCCAGCCCTCCAGATACCACTCTAGGCTCTAGGGATGCAGCATGTAGTAGAGAACTCCCCTGTTCTGGAGCTCACATTCTAAAAAGGCCCCAGTGGCTTTGACAGGCCACAAGAGAATAGGGCCATTTCATGTCTGTACTTAGGGACGTCGAGCACGCACTTGGCAGTGTGCTGTGTTGGAGTACTGAAATGCTTCTAATGCTGCTGGTATACGGCCAGAGTCTCTAGCTAGCTCTTCCCTGGGGACTCTGTAGGCCTCATGACCCCTGACCTAAAGCGGTCCTACCTGCAACAGAAGGGGCCAGGACCCCACTCAAGTGCCTCAGCCAACCTCCCCTCTGATAGATCAGGGCTTGTGTACCCACGATGGTATTAAATAGTTCCACTTTCTGCCTTGTATAAGTGCCTCCCCCTCTTCTTTTTTTTTTGGTACCAGGAATTGCACTCAGGACCTTGTGCTTTCCAGGCAGGCGCTATGCCGCTTAGCTGTATCCTGGCCTGTTCCCCCTTCTATTCTTTTTTTGTTTTTTTTTTTTTTTGTTTTTGTTTTTCTCTGGTACCGGGAACGGAACTCACGACCTTGCGCTTGCCAGGCAGGTGCTTTGCCGCTGAGCTAAATCCCCAGCCCCGCCCCCTTCTATTCTTAAGACTCAGCTCACATGCCATCTCTTCCAGGAAGACTTTTTTTTTTTTTGGTTTTTTGACATAGAGTCTCACTGTGTGGTTCAGACTGGCCTTGAACTCACTGTGTAGCCCAGGCTGACCTCGAACTCACAGCAGCCCTCCTGCCTTAGCCTCCCCAGTGCTGGGTTTATAGGCATGCACAACAATGCTGAGCTTCAGGAAGGCTTTCTAACAAGGCTTCTACACCAGTCCAGAGAGCTCAACGGTGTCTCTGAGCTACCACTGTTCTTTGGTTGCCCTTGATGATAAACTTGCCCACCATCTAACTCACGTTAGGGAGATTTATGACATTTTTATCTGCCCTAATAGCCTTGAGCTCCATAAGGGCAGGGTCCAGGGTTTGACTGAGTCAGCCTTTTATTCAGCAGCCATTATAGGACATTTCCTCTCTGCAGACCTCTTTGCCAAACACTTGAGAAATACAGAATTGACTAGGACATCTTTCCTGGGCTCAGGGAACTCATATCAATGTGTCAAACTACAACTGTCCTAGGAGCATGACATTGGGGTATTTTGGGGGGAAAGGGTCTCACTAAGTTACTGAGAGCCCAGGCTGGGTTCAGACTTGCAATTCTCCTGCCTCTGCCACCCAAAGTGCTGGGATTTTAGGCATGTGTCACCATACCTAGTATGACATCAAACTTTTATGCCATTCTGAATTCCTGCCCTGTCTGAGTGACTGTCATGTTGTAGCACAAAATGTGTATGGGTGAGTAACAGCTGTTCTCCAAGTGATCAGTTTAGGAGGTAATAAGTTAGATTGAAGGTTGCCTCTTGGGGTAGGATGTAGTCAGTGGTAGAGCACATGCCTAGCATGCACAAGTCTCCAAATTCAATCGCAAGCAAAACACACACACACTTTTAAAGATGGACTAATAACAATTTGCATAAAGACACACACGCACAATTCTAGGTTGCCTTTCTTATTCCAAATTCAGAGCCATCCATGGCAGTCAGATCCAGCAAACACTCTGGTTCATTTCTCTGTGTTTATTTTTTGAGATAGGGTTCTCCTATGTAGTTCAGGCTGTCCTTGAACTCACTGTGTAGCCCAGGCTGGCCTCAAGCCCCCTGCAGTTCTCTTAATTCAGCCTCCCAAGTGCCAGGATTACTGGTGTGTGATGCCATGCCCAGGTCAGCATGTACTCTGCATAGTCAGCTGTGTTGTCAGCCAGCACCTTGCCCGGACCCTGACACATGGAGGCACGCGGGCCTGTGCAAGACAGAATGCATCTTCATCACGGAGGCACAACACCCACAACTTAAGGGAGGACAGCTGTATTTTCACCCAGGTTTCAGTGCATATTCAGCTAGCTATAAGGCAGAACAGGGTGGCAGAGGAGCCTGGCAGAGGACAGCTGCTCACAGCATGGTGGGCAGGAAGCAGTGTCAAGGGAGGAGCTGAGAAGGGGGATGTAACCTTCCGGGTCACACCCGCAGTGACCACCTCTCCTGAGCAGCTCCTCCTCCTAACAGCAGGTCGGTTATTATGCCCTTATAACCAGTCACCTTCCAAAGGTCCCACCTATGATTGCAGGCAGGGTTAAGGGGACGTCTAGATATGAACCATAACATTGTGCCCCTGGCCAACAAAAGACTCCGGCACATCTCTTTATGTAAATTGTTATTAGTCCATTTTTAAGCTCTAAGTTTGCCAAAGGCCTAACAGTTCCAGCCTTGCTCAAAAGTCCAAGTCCCACATCTTATCACAGCCTGAAAGCAAACGCTTGGCCATGAACCCCTGTAAAAAGCAAAAGAAGGTTAAATACTTCCAACGTACTATGACAAAGAGTAAATACTCCCATTCCAATAGGGGGGTAGAAATCAATGAAGATAACCATACACAATGTATTAATTATTGTTATTCTCCTATTAGCCTGTTTTGAAACTGTTTTATTTTTATTTTTTCCCTTTAAAATAAAATTTTAAAAAACTAAAAATAAATAAAAAAAAGAGAAAGAAGTCAATGGGACTAAAGCAAGACCAAAACCTGGCAAACAGTCAGTGCTGTAGTTCCATGTCCGGCACCCAGGGCCAGCTGTGGCAATGAGATGTGAGTGCACAGGGCTGGGTGCTGCCCCTCGGGCACTGCCTGTGGTTGTAGCCCTCGTGGCTTCTCTCTAGCAGGTTTCCTCAGATGTTCCACATTCCTCGATTCTCCAACTTCATGGGGGCTCCACTGCACTTTTTTTTGGGGGGTGTCTTTTTTTGAGATGGGGTCTCACTATGCAGTTCAGGCTAGTCTTGAACTCATTTTGTAGCCCAGGCTGGCCTTGCAACGATTCTCCTGCCTCAGCCTCCCGAGTGCTGGGATTACAGGCGTGCACCACCATGCCTGGCTCCACTGCACTTTTGGCTTCACTCTTACAGCTTCCGCCTATAAGCTGGATGTCGCTCTGTCAGTGGTAGCTCACTAATTCTCCAAATGTCTTCCTTACAGCTCTGTTTCTTCCTTAGCTCTCTGTGTGGCCAGTTCTCTTGTCTGGGTGATGTGCACGCTAATCCCGGGTCATGCCTTCACAGATGGGAGTCTGCCAAACGCTAAAACACTCTTCAGCCCCCAGAGTTCTGTGTCTGGAGTCCCCTCTGGTTAGGACAGTGTGTACTCACGACTAACCAACCAGTGCACCTGCTGTAGGACCTCTCCGCGGTTGTGTAAAGCTACATCTTTGGCCATTATGGTCTCTGCCTTCGAGCACTGAGGAACATGTTGCTAAAACATGTTTCTGACTAGCCTAGGGTTGCAGAGAAGGAAGCTGTTCATTGGTGGGGTAGAAGGAGAAAATCCCCTTCTCTCTAGCCATGGATTAGGAATAAAGACAGATAGAGTCCTTCTGGTATCTTGAGGCAGACTTATAGTCTGGGCCCACTGCAACATCTGCATCAGTAGTTTCCTAGTGCTGCCATAGCAAAGTACCACAAACTAACGACCTTAAAACAACAGAAATAGAGCCAGGTGTGGTGTCACAAGTCTGTAATCCAGCACTTGGGAGGCTGAGGCAGGAGGATCACTGTGAGTTCAAGGTCAGCTGAAAAACTACACAGTGAGACTATCTCAAAAAACAAAAACAAAAAAAAACCAGAAATGTATTCTCTTACATTTCTAGAAACCAGAAGTCTGAAATAAAGCTGTGGGCAGGGCCAGGCTGCATTTTAGGGAAAATCTTAAAATCCATTTTAAGGAAAAATCTTAAAAAATCTTACCTCTCCAGTGGCTCCTTTGCTATGGCTGCATGACAGTAATGTCCGCCTCCTGCACATGGCCTTTTCCTCTCTCTATCTCTCCATAGGTGTCTTTTTTTTTTTTTAAGACAGGGTCTTGCTATGTACTTCAGGCTGGCCTCAAATCTGTGGTGATCCTCCTGCCTCAGCCTCCTGAGTGCTGGGATTACAGGTGTGCACCAACATGCCCAGCTCCATGGGGTATCTCTTACATTTGTCACTGGATTTAAGGCCCACTGAGATAATCCAAGATCTCATATCAAGACCCTTCATTACATCTGCAAAGACCCTTCCCCACCTCGTCTTCCACCCATCAGCAGGCTCTGGGGGCTTGGGTGTGGGCATGGACGTGTCTTATGGGGACACCACTTAGCGCATTAACACCATGACAAAGCTGAAATGGATACACAGGATGCCTTCATGCCCGGAATGTTCTCAGTGCATCTTCTCAGCTTTGCCCTGTTCTTCCTCCAGAATTGGGCAGACCCAGCCGCACCCCCACCCCACCACCTGAGCTGTAGTCCCCACTTCTCTTCCTCCCAGTCAAACACACACACCTGTCAACAGTGGCGCCAGGCATTGTGCTCTATTCCCATCTCCTGGGCTCACGGTGCTACTGATTACCACGGGGCTGCCCTCTTCCTTACCTGAGCTCTTAGTGTCGACTGTCTCTCAATTTTTGAGACGTTATTAACCAGTTCTTTTGGGACCTTAAGCTAAGACATGGTCTGTCCAAACTCTCCTTCCTCCTCCCTGGTCTAAGCCAGAATTTTTCCATTCTCAGAATTCTTAGAATGTCAGAGCTGGAGGGGAGCTCAAAACCCTGACAATCCCTTGGTTCTTGGCTTGGAGCCTGAATTCCTGAGCCCAAAATGCTCAGAATGGGGTCTAAAGTTCCTCTCTTACATTTTGTTTCTTACTGTAAAATACATTTCCTAGTTACAAAATAATGCATGATTAATGCAGAATTCTCGGGAAAGGTGAAGAAAAGTTTGAGGGAATTTAAAAAGTTACCCTGCTTGTTCCTATCTTTCACCTCAGTGATGCACCACTTTGCACATACTTGTTTAATTATCTTCGGTCTCATTACTCAGAGATGAAAACCACAATTTACTTTTGATTGTTTAGTCCTTCAACCTCTCATATATTTTTATACAAAAGACATCATATTACACATACATCTTTTAGCTTGCTTTTTTTCTGAGTAATATAATTTGTGTGTTTTCCTGTGTCAATAGCTTTTGGTGATGGTGCTAGGGTGTTACTGGAGATTGGACCCAGGGCCTTCATAGTGAACTATGCCTCCCCCCCATTTTTTTAGACAGAGTCTTGCAAAGTTGTCCAGGTTGTTCTCGAACTTGTGATTCTCCTGCCTCAATCTCTCAGAGTGCTGGGATTTCAGGAGGGCACTGCCACACCCGGCTTGGTGTTTTTTTAAAAATTAGCTGGGCATGGTGGTGCACGCCTGTAATCCCAGCAGTCAGGAGGCTGAGGCAGGCAGATCATTTCACGTTTGAGACCAGCCTGGGCTACAGAGTGAGCTCAAGGCCAGCGTGAATTGCACAGCGAGACCCTGTCTCAAAAAGACAAGTATATGTATATATAATTACATTATTTTTCACATTTTTACATTATTTCTTCCAATGTCTATTTTTTTGCTTACCAGTTCCTTAGCACTAGACATTTAGATGATTTCCAGTTTTCTGTTGTAAACAACACTGTGCTAGGTATCTTGGTACATGTATTTCTCCATGTAACCACTCAGGGTGCTATCTTAGAACTGCCAGGTCTAAAACATAGGCACATTTGAAGATTTCTAACACAGTAGCAAAACGGCACTGCCAATTTACCTTCCAGGGCTAATTCCATTTTTTCAAAAGGCCTAAGTTTAAACAAATCTGGTGTATTGTATTTTTGACAAGGCTGCACAAACCAGTGAACTCAAAGCTTTCGCTCTGGGCCAGAATTACAGCAGGTCCAAACTACTATGGTAGTTACTGACCCTGCCCGAAGCCGTCAGGGTTGGCACCCTCTGAAACGAAAAAGAGCAGCCGCTCGAAAACTATACTTTCGCCCAGGGCCCAGAAGCTTCCTAAGCCCTCGGGGTCCGGGGTGGTCCCAGGGCAGAATGTGCGCCCCCATAATGGCCCGGTCCCTCCTCTGCAGATAGGGCGCTAAGGCTCTGCCCGCAGCTGTACCTCCCCAGTCTGGACCCCCGGGCCCTGGCTGCGTCCCAACCTAGCGCGGCTCAGAGGCGAGCCAGACGCCCGCGCGCGCCACCCCGCGCCCACAGCGCCGCCCTCGCGGTGGGGCGCCC